GAGAGTTTTAGTGTAGGTGAATCCATTTGCATAACGTCTCAAAAATACACCACTCTGCTTGGTTTTTAAATATGTACTGAACAAGCTGTCAAATGAATGCACTGGCGTTCACTGAGAGGTTTGAATGAATAGAGCAAAAATGCCCTATTCATTGTTGTTGTTTTGTTTTTGGTTTTTTTTGTTTTTTTAAAGAAATGCATTAAAAGTGATTTTTTTTTAACATAAAATGACACAAATATATAGTTTTGGATACATATAACCTTTAATTAATTGTTTCTTTATCTTTCCAAAAGGACATTACACAAATTCACAACTCTTCACTTTGGCAGTAGAGTATAAAATCATGCACAAGAACAAGGAATGCAAACGACACTTATTTTTGTACCACAGTAATCTTAACATCCTCGGAAAGGAGTAGGAAGAAGTAAGAAACTTATGAACTCCTACCCCGTAAACTCATACCATATTTTCAGATGGACCCTCATTAATAAATCAAAACAAAAATAAAAATAAACAGGTTAATTAATTTTCCATTTTATCTGGGTTTACATTTGTCTAAGTATATACATCCATACCCACACACTCATAAGCGTCAGCCTCAATTTACATACACACATTAGTGCTATCTCTCATCCATATTTCTATATCTTGTGAAAATGTCCTCCTTATATTTCCTTTAAAATTGTATTAAATTTTGACTTTGTTTTAACTCCTAACTTGTTCCATAACTTTACCGCAGGAATTGAAATACAAAAGCTCTTTCTTGATTGATTTTGTTAAAGGTAAAGCTGAGGTAAACTTGTTCCCTCGCTGATGAGCGAAGGAGAGGGACGGGACAACAGGGAACGAAGAACCGATCCGCCGGGTCTCTTGAGGAGCTTCAGCAGGAATTTATTTGTGATATGACGATCCCTGCCCAGTTTTGAGGTGAGTACAGTTGGGCTGGGCTACTAGTGGCTGGACTTTCTCGGGCCAAGTCCTGCAGTGGAGAAAGCCTTTTGTTACCATGCAGGCTTTGGATGCCTAGAGGTCCTGCTAACCAAGGAATCACTGATTTCTGAGGCAAAACCGCCTTCTTCATGGTTATCATAATATAAATCAAGTGCATTTATTTCCTCCAGAGAACTTCCTGGGTGCTTCTAGCAGAGGCCACAGTAGAATGGCTTAATTTGTTCGCAAATTGTACCTTGCAAAGTGTATTTTTTAAGTAATGTTTGCAGTTTAACTCATTATTGTTTGTTCAAATGCTAATTTAGACACAAACATCTTCTGAAACTGTGATATCTGTTGTGTCCCTCATGGTTGCACCTGTAGATGGATGAAACAGGTCAAGAGATGATGTTGTGTTTGCACTGAAATGTGCTTTACAAATAAACTTGATTGATTCATTGAACACATCACGAGTTATGGAATAAGGCAGATATAACATCTATTTATGAAATAACCTTTGATCTTTGGTTCTCTTTAGACATCTTCAAACAAAAACAAAGGAAAAGCGGTGGCGCGTCAGGCAGACTGTGGACTTCACTCCATAGCTGTAAGTTTAGATCAACCCCTCCTCCTAGTGACAAATTCAAATTAGCAGTGGTTAGGTTTTTTCCTCCAAATACACAGCTAGATTCAAACAAATTCTTCTCCCCACCTCACCTCTCTCTGGTCTGGCCTACGAAAACCACACGCCGGGGTCACTGCGCGCTCCTCAAGCCAAACCAGACCCATAATTTTGCTTTTGTTTCAGTTGTAGCCTCAAACCCTGAAATATAAAGACCAGGGAAGGTCAGTGTGCAGAGGGAAAAGTGCAAGAGAGAGGATGAGGGAGGCTTAAAGAAAAGCAAGGAGCGAAAGAAAGAATTAGATGAGAGACGGGATAAGGAGCAACCCAAGACTGTTGTTGAGAGTGGAGTGGTTTTCCAATCTGTTGAGGAAGTTTTTATTATACACCATGTGTGTGGACAGGAAGAGCTGCGTAACAAGGCGCAGATCTCTCCAAACCACCGGCCATTACTGACCACTGCTGACCATTACACCCAAAGAGCTCTCACTATTTTTGGATTCAGGCTTTCCCCAGGTTAACGGCACACATTTACACCTCAGTATTTTGTCTACATATGACATCAGAGCATCTATTTTCTAACACGCATCCCATTTTATTTTCTGACCTCTGCTGCTTAAAGCAGACCTCACCCCCAAATCAACTCCCTTTTTTTTGCTGATAAACCAGTCTAGATGGACTGTTTAGGGTTCCAGCTTTATGTTTCTGTGTAAATTTGAAATTTTTTGTGAATGCCTGCTCCACCACTGTGTCATGTGACATTTCAGAATCTTAAAACAGATGGCAAGCGGCTCAGTTTTAATAAAACAGAAACTCTAGATGAAATATAAAAAAAACAGAACAACATCCTGTTATCTCCTCAAAGTCTTGTCTTTTTTGCCATCTGTCAGCCTGAATGAACTGCAGACAAGTTCAGTTCTATTTCCCCTTAAACTCCCTCACCCAGGGATAATAAACATGATTTTTCCTCTATGTTGCCAGTGACGTCTCTTCCATTTTTTTTACCAAATCTTTAATTTGCACGCACAAGTTGTCAGTTAACCAAACAGTCATGTTTTTGGACTGTGAGAGGAAGTTGGAGTACCCATAGAGAATCTATAGAGATCATGCAAACTCCTTGCAGAAGGCTCATTTGCCAGGATAAAAACCCAGGAAGCAGAGCTAACCTATTGCTTTTTTGCTTGTTTTTTCATTGAAACTGTGAGATTAACCCTACTTTTCTTTAGCTGGTATTTATTCAGTAACTTTCTGGCTACATCAATGTAAAGGTTAGTTGAAGAAAATTGTGCATAACGGTAAAGTCAAAGTCTGACCATGCAGTAAATGAAATCCCCAAATCCACAGAATCAACATTGTACGTGTTCAGAAACTTGAAGTTCTTTCAAACGTTTGGTCTGCATTTAACAAAGAAAAAGATTTTAATTCATTTGGTCACAAAGTTGTTTGCACAGCATTAAATGCTACTCAGAATGTATTTATTTTAAGATGTAGGAATACGGCTAAGATTAACACCGTTTTATTCTCATTCAACTAACCCGAGGCAGAGCTCCATTCTCAGTAAAACAGGTTGTTGTAAAATCTCTAAAAGGTCAAAACCTGTGAGCCATAAAGCTTCCATTGTGCAAACGGAGAGTCTTTGAGGTGGTGTGGTACGAGGGTGATCGACTGAAACCCAAAAACCTCAACCGTTTTGCTTTCATTTGTTTTTTTTAAAGAAAAACAAACCAGTTTTATTTGAGAGAGCCAGTACAGTACACTTCACTCCTCTGACCTCAGGAAGCTTTGTGTTTGGGTCCAGTTCTTGGCCCACTGCTCAGTCATCAGGACACCAGGCAGATCTGTGACACATGCAAAGGCCAAAATGAAATGTGGCCCAGGCCACAAATCTCGCAAAATTTGGCCGATGAGTCCACGCTTCATGGGAAGTTGACGGTCTAACAGCAGACGGACAACAGCAATAGGTTTACCCTGGCAAGGGTTGGTATTTTGTAGATAATGTGATATATGGCTTGGCTCAGCATCGCCCATTGTACAAACACCCAGTCACCTTGTGGTGAGGTTTTGAATAATGACAGAAAGGGAACGACACAAAAAAAGAGGAAAGTGACATTTATACGAGCACTTCACAGCAATAAAAACATCACAACCGAGCATCTTTGCTGTAATTCTACTCCGTTGCTGGTTCTGGCAACCCACATTATCCCTTAATACTAAAGAAGGAGGATTTTATAATACTTGCCATAACATTGTAGTGAGGAAAGAAGCTCCGGCTGATTCTGACATTTATACAAGCGTAAAATCTTAGAAGAATGTAGTTTTGAGTTTGTTATATGAGCCCTCCTTACTTCCTGAGTTTGCTCACTAACAAAAAAAAATAGAATTTGAAATTTCCATTGTGGATAAACCACACGCACAAAATTTTTATTGATTTTGCACAGTATGAATGAACTTTTTGAGCCCCTACAATTAGGCAAGATTTTTTCTTCTAACTCAATCAACACCTAATCTTAGATCACCGTGTGTAGCCGTCTGCAGAATACCTATTTGTACTCGCCTTAAATGCAAAATGTCACACAACTCCCCTACTGGTGAAGGCGGTGTGGCCGATCCGTGTGACATAATGTGTGTTTGCATGTCAGAAAAGCACCACACTGTTCCTCTTTTGCCTGTTTTCTGTCTCACTTAGTGGAGTACTGACCTTTTAAGTGGAAAAACTTTTAAAAAAAGAGCTTGCAAAATGCCACCTAGTTCCATTTCCCCTTCATTTGTGTGAGGAAGCCAGAGAATAGAGTCAAAATGTAAACATCACTTTAACCATGAATGAGAGTCTCCTTTCTAACAGTGACCCAAAACTGACCACGGTAAGACAGAAGTGGCTAAAGTAGAAACACAGAAAGGTCATGGTTCGGTTGAGTCAGTTTCCAGATCTCACTTCTACAAAAAGTTTAAGTTCTATGAGATCAGTTCTTAGTTTTTATAATATTCTGTTTTTCTACACCAAAAACCCTATTCATTTCTACGTAAAATTACTTCCCAAATGTATCTAAAAAAAAAAAAATCTTAATTCCAATGCTCCTCTGTTGAGTGGAAAGTCAAAGACATTATGGACTCTTCTTTTCCAAAATATCTGATTGAATCATTTTGTTTTATTTTGCGATTCAATGCCTTGTGAGTCAAACAGAACAGTTATTTTTTTCCTCTTCAATAAATGCATCAAACCACATTTAAATCTTTTACCATTTGATTTCAGATGCCATACAGTTCGTGTAAAAGGTTGTGCCATAGCAGCCGACTACAAAACCAGAAGGATATTGATGACTGAGGCAGTGGATTCACACAGGAGAGGCATCAAGGCACTGGGCTGAAGACTGCAATCATGCACCTTGTTTTCATCTACAACTGAATATGAATTCATAATGAGTTTAGGAGGCTTTTTTTATTATTATTTTTGAGGTGTTCGAGTGACAAGCCCCTAATAGAGCGGCTACGTGTGTTTTGGGGGCGATTTAGGGAAATTGTAGTCGCCGATTTTACAGAAGATCTATGAGATTCAACATGTTCGAATTATGCACAACTTTTTATGAACGGTGTGATAACGCGAGAGCTGAAGTGGAGCTAGCTGCATACTATCTGAAAAAAAACAATAAAACATCATTCATGTACTACTTCCTTTTGAGGTTTTCGCCTGTTCATCATGTGACTTGTGTGATGTGGAAAAAAAAGGTTTCCATTGCAGTTGTGGAAAATACAACTATTTCAAAATGGCCGAAGCGCACTGTAATGAAGGTCTTCATTACTTGGCGGCACAACACTTAAAATGTGTTAAATGATAAAAGAAATGCATGATGAATGAAATGAAACGGATACAAACAGATTGAAATGTTTTATTGATTCTGTGTTTTATTCAGTTGCATCTCAGCTGGAACTGATGGTGTCCTGTCAAAATACAAACAAAAGGATAATATAAGTATTGTGATTGTTTGAAGGCTTTGTGTGGGTGTGGCTTACCTCTCTCTTCCTCTGCAGGGTGTTCAGGCTAAAAGATTCCCCAGGGGCCTGAGCACCTTTTAAAGGTTCCAGAAGAGACCAAAGCAGATGGGACAGGGGGAGCAGTAGAGCTAGGCATTTTATAAATTTAATGTTGGATTTATATTTATATTGATAAAAATGTGTTTTAGAGATGCTTAAAATTAATAGTATTTGGCAATATATATTATTCTGAGGATTTAGTTAGTTAGTTTGTCAAACTGTGTGTGTATGTATTTTGTTTTACCCTGTTTCTTGGTGGGTTTGTGAATTGGAACAGCCAGCGACTATAAAAGGCTGCATGTTGGCCACAGTGTGTGTTGCTGCTAAGACCCTAGGCCACTGTAAGCAGGGTTGTTTGTCTGTTAAATGTTGGTGAATAAACACCCAGTGGGTTTGCACAGTTTCTCTGCCTCAAGTCTCCTACTTCCTCCAGCTGCTAAGGGCCATCCTAACACGCACAAACTTTTCATCAGAAAACCAGAGTTTTTTATATTTCAATAAAATATACTCCATTTTTCCAGATGCCATTTCATTGTTGGTGAATTAGTGTCACTGTGGAAGCAAAGACCAGGAGAGGAGAGGGAAAATGGTGGAGGCTAATTGTAAGATCACAGTGTTTTTGTTATCCTTTATTTATTTATTTGTCTGTTTGTCTGCTTTCTTTTTTTCTCCCTCTCTTTTCCACTTCAACCCAAAATATCTGTGACTCTCGGTTAATCAAGCAATATTAGAGAACAGAAAAATTATCTTCAAAGTTAGAAAATGGCTGCCAAGATTAAAAGAAAAAAGTGCATCCTAATCCACATTTCTTAAACTATTTCATTGATTTTGTTGTGACACTGATTATGTTTTGCGCTTCATTTTTGTTTTGAATGTGTCCATTTTAATGTATACCTCCTTGTTTCTTTTGTTAGTTTGGTTATTTTATTTTTATTGCTGTCATCTGTTCTATTATCTGTTTAATTATTTTGTAGATCAATACCCCTTTTTGCTGTTTTGTCAGTCTGTAATGTTTGCTGTATATGCACCTATTGGTGAATTTACAAAAAAGGGAGTTTTATTTTTTCAAAATTGCCAAGTTTCCATGAAGCAAGTTGAGTTTCAACTTGTGCAGTAAAAACGCCGCTACCGATGGCAGCTGAGTGTTGGTAGTCTGGAACATGTGCAGCCCTTCTGTCGAGTCTCCTTCAGTTGGCTGGCCTTGGGTGCCCTCTTCAAGCCCCCTTCAAGCCTCCTCCATGGATCTGTGGTGAAGCAATACCAGGAAACATCCAGAACAAAAATACCAATGAAGGCGAGACAGCTGTTGTGCTTCCTCTCCCTTTTTCCGGTTCTCTTAGACGACATGTTTTTCAAATCAGAGAGGAATCACTCTCAGGACTATAGACTCAAATCTGGAATTTCTCCAACGCCCGTAGGACCCAAAAGAAGACGAGCCACTTTTCCATTCTTCCCCAGTTTGACCAGGCTGACTGTGTAGCTGAGCCGAAAGTCGGGGCCTTGTGTGGAGTAAGGGCTTCATGGCAGGGCTCTGACGGTTTACCTGAAGGACAACCACAGTGTAAATCCTCTCCCCTGAAGGAGGATATCCAGGATGTGGCTTTGAAGGAAAACAGAAACGTGCGTGAGTGTGTTTGAGAGAGGGAGACAAAACAGAGAGAAAGTGTGAGAAAGACAGAGCAAAAAGGAGAGTGCATGAGGGAGGGATGGAGGCGGGTTCATCATGCATGCATGCATATGTGTTGGCGTGAGCGTGTCTGCGTGTAAATGTGTGTGGTCCTCTTTGTGAGGTGGAAAATTATTTTTAAATTCAAGTTAAAATATTTGCTTTTCCTTCAAGTTGCCAGCGATGCGCTTTTAGCACTGCAGTGCTACTTGGTGCTTTGCGAGGTGTTTGTAGAAATGAATGGAATGGATGCCGCCGCTGCACCGTCTCATGAATGAGCAAGGGGGATCTCCTGGCTGGCTCGCCACAGCACAGCACACTGCAAGCAATCATGATCTTGTTTATTTTCATCACAGTAGCCTTTGGAGCCTCTCCCCCTCCAGGATTTACATTGAGAAAATACACAGAGACAGCTACAGACATCACAAATGAGTAACTTGGCATCTGTGGAACTACAGCAAAACCCAAACAAAAACCCCACTTTGTTTAGCCGACCTGACCGATACCGGGGACTGCGGGCAACTATACTTGGCAGCGATTAGCCGCAGCACAAGAGCTGATGTCATTTTCCATCCTGCATTGTTCTAACTTTAACAAACATGAAAAATGTGGAGAAAAAACTTTATGCAAATCAGTGCAACAAAAAGTAGACAATGCTAATTGTAGCAGAAAGGGTAGACTAAATGAGACTTTTTTCCCCAAAAAAATAAAACAAAATGTTGCAGTACTAGTAGTAGGACAGTTAGTCACATTTTAATTCAGTTTTTATTTTTATTTTTATTTTTTTTGGCTTCAAACAGTCATCAAAACAGTAGGATTAAAAAAATAAATTATTTTTCATAGTATAGTTTTGTCATTTTTCCCTTTGGAAATATGCTAATATTTTGCAACTTCTCCCGACTCTTTCCGACCCTCGTGAAGATCGAACCCCATGTGTTTTGTGTGGTCGTGTTTGAAAAACTACTTGCAAGTAAAGATGTCAGAAAAAAAGCAGTGAAGGAGTGGCTAATTGTCCCCCTGATGGGTATGAATCAACATGCGGTTGATGTAGGAAATCCTGCTGTAGCCATGGTTTTTCTTGTTTTTACCCAAAAGAGCCAAGACATGAAAACAAGTGCAGTATATCAAAAAAATGGCTTTGTGAAAAAAAATCATCACTCTAAGAAGCAGGTAGAGAAATGCTTAGTTTTTTAAATTGTATGTAGAGCTCATCATTAACTCGTTTTGTAACTTTTTAAAATATATATATATTATTATTATTTTGCCCCCATATGTTGCTGGAATATAAATGGCTCTGTCAGTTTAAAATTGGCCACATCTTGACAAGCTCATTGTAAGCAAGACATCACCAGATATCATAAGTTAATTTTTTAAAATCATCTACCGTAGTAGTATTTAATTCCCTGATTCTGGCCCTGTTCGATACTTGGGATTGGATCTGTACAACCCTCCTACCTTATAAATTTATCAGACTACACTCAGCATTTTATTCAAACCTACAATACTTTTTTTCCTTTTAGATTTTGCTTTCTTGTTAGTTTTTTTTCTTCTGAATTAATCATTTCTAAAACATACTCCAAAGCTAAAACACGGTTTCAGTTGCTGATGCGTTTCCTTTAATAGTGGCAACACTTCATTTGCGAAACATTCCTCGGCTCGTCCCCACAGGTGTTGAGGTCTTCCTATATTTTCCAAGATGGTAATCAGTGACAGCCGGCAAGACCAACAACGACAAGCCTGTAGGTCACGAATGCGTGCCGTTTAAGAAAACAATTTTCCTGCGGCAAAAAATGTTTTCCTACCGCCCTTCACCATTCACTGCCTGGTGTGAAATCTCCAGCTGCAGGGGAGAGAGAGAGAGAGAGAGGCAGAGAGAGAGATAGCTACCTACCTACATGATCCTCTCTTACCTGCTGCCAAAGACTCCCAGGCTCCTCATTCCTGCACGTCTCTCAGCACAGAGGCTCTTACCCTCTTCTATACCCCTGCCAGAAAAGCACCTGAGGGTCCGCGCTCCTCTGCTGGTATTTCTGCTGAAAGCTATAATAAATCATTTGCCTTTTGTCTCTCAGCCTTCTGCCTACTTTCCTAATGTGTTTTCTCTCCGTGATCCTGGTTTCGAGAGTTGAAAGAGGCCCGCTTCAAATGGGTGCAGGTTGTGCTAGGACAGATTCAGCACCGTCTTCGCATTCTCCGCGATTCTTGCTCCTTGTCATCACTCCGATGCCCCATTTCCCTCAGGTTGAATACTGCAGGAAGCAAAGCGTTGACGGCGCACCGGGAGAAGTAGCAGGTAAAAAAGGTGGAGAGAAAAAGAGCGGAGGGTGAAAGGAGGGGGGAGAATAAAGACGTCTGTCAGAATGTAGAAATTAAAGTGAAATAATTTACACTCTGCTGACTTTTATTTCTGGCCACGAGTGTTTCGAGCGAGCTCCTGTGCCGAATGCCTTTGTGGTGAAGCAACTTTTCAGGGGAGGAAGACGTGTTTATTCAAGGAGAGGAGAATTTCATTTTTGAACCAAGCCGACTTTGTGTAGAGAGCACCTCACCAGGCCATGTAAATAGCAGGAAGATTTTTAATAAAAACCATGGGCGATGACGGTTTCCAAAGAACATATTATGGATGGAGAGGTCACCGGTGGGAAAAGTGGCCAGCCCCTTTTCGGTGGCCAGAGAGTCCGAGGAGATCACTGGAATTCCTTTGGTCGGAGTTTAGGTGTTTGAGCTCGAAGCGTCCTGACAGGCCCTTCCTCCCCGTGTCATCCCCTCTCTGTGCACAGTCTGACGGAGACGCACTTCCACAGACAGACACATGCACTCTTCTGCTGTCCAGCTTAGTGGCTTGGAGCTCTTGCAAATATCCCTCCACCTCCTCCTCTACAGTTTGAGTTTGTGAGACCAGACTTCCTGAAAACAATGGACTGATTAGGGAATTGCCAGTGGATTTGATTAGAGTCTGTTTCTCTGACCTCTCCTTAAAAACTTCATGTAGGCCTGCCATTGCCTCCCACTCTACTTGTTTTTGTACATGTAAATGTATATAAGACAGGAATGGATTAACAAAGGTGCTGTGTCCCTAATTAAACTCTCAACTTTTGTCTGTCCCATCCTCATGTCCATATGTGCCAAGCAGTGATTAGACGACCGGATCTTTTCAAAGATCTGTCACTGTTGGACCAGTTCCAAAAGTTTCCAAATGGATCTTCATATTTTTTACAGAATGTGTATTATACTTAATCTGGTTCAGCAAGTATGAATAGTTTGTGTGCTAATAAAGTGGTTTCACAATCAAAGTTCCTTATTTTTCCTATATTTGTTACAGCAAATGCTCAACTGTTATTGTCTAACTGTGGAATCAAACTTTCTTACAGATTACACCTCCAACATCACTGAAACATATTCAAGGTTTCTGAAAGGTCTTAGAATGGATTAAAATGATGATACTGAAGCTTAGGCTTTAATAAATACTTTACAGGTACTCTACACACACTCACACACCATTACTAGCTTATTCCTTAACCAAAAACTAATTCACACCTTACCAACCCAATCCTAAACAAGGGCCCCAATTTGGGAAGCTCACCTTACGGCTGGGTGAGATATATATATATATATATATAATTCTGTGATTGTACATGCTTTTCACGTTATTGAAAGCTAAACACAGGTGGTTAAAGTCAGTCCTTATGAGGTTACTTTTCATATTTCATATACTGTAGTTATGTAATTTTTATTCTTATGGTCTTAAAAAGTCATTAAATGAACTTCATTTAAAACAAATCAGTTTTTCAGTCTCTTTCGCTCTATGCAGTTGTCCTTTCCCTCTGCACTCGTCATCTTCAAAGCATCTGCTCCTTTTCCTTAACATAATGGTATAATCCAAGTCTGTCTCTGCGTGATATGACCATCAAAATAAAGTCCTGGCTCTACGCCGTAGGAGTCGGTTCTTCCTGTCCGTCCCCTACAGAGACTCACCTTTCAGACGCAGCTCATTCATGAACACATCACCAACATTCAGACAGTCACTGGCCACCCTGAAAAGGTTCAGGCGGATGAATCCCAACAGGAGTAAAAAGCATTGCTGTGTCGGGGTCACAAGCCAAAGGTCAATCCTCAGAGGTCAGGCCGAGGTTAATAAGGTGTTTTGTCACTTGGAGAATATGTCTAATCCCCCTGAGACTGAAAAGGATGCATCTCTTCTTTAGCAAACTTCACAGCACGGCCGCTAACCCCCTTTTTGATTCTCTCCATAAGCCTCCTCTTTCAAGTCCCCTCCTCTTTGTCGTTCATGACGACAAAGAGAAAATTATCAAAAGCCACGGTTAGTCCGGGATTAATTTATGGCAACATTTTCGAAGCCCTTTTCTTTCGACTCGCTCGTCGTCCGTTACGCAGAGGCCTGCTTGATAGGGTTAATTACCTGATTCCCATGACACAATTAAAATTCCAGCCTCCAGCTCCGAACTCCGAGAGCTGTCTGGATGGATGAAACACTTTCTGGCTCAACAATGCTGACGTTAGCCCCGCTTGATGAGGGTATTATTTTAATAGAAAAGAGTCGCTTATTCATTATCTGCATGTGGCCATCAATGAGACACAAGCGCAGAAAAAGAGAGAAATCCTAAATGTTGGCAGACCACCAGCTCTTGCCAAAAATAATAAAAAATAGAAAAACCTCTGCCCGCCACGGCCATCTACAATGCCAGTGTCTCAGCTAGGCAGCCGGAGACAATAAAGTGGAAAACTGGCTCCCTTCTTCCGCTTTGGTCTTTGCTCAACTCCCAAATATCCAGATTCGAATCTTCTGTCACTCATTGGACTTGTCATTTATTTGACTATATAATAAAATAACTTTTTCCCCCCAAAACCAGGAGCAATAACTGTTTTCACAGTCTGACTGTTTTCACAGTCTTTCCAAAAATAGCTGCTGCGCTGAGGACAGAGTGCAGCTGAAACGGCAGAGTGCATTTTCTTACGCCCATATTTCCTGTTTACTGC